AGCTTCCTGCTAATGCAGACCTGAGGAGGCACTGGTGATGGCGCAAGGAATTGGGTCCCTGCCACCCACGTAGGAGACCTAGACTGAGTTCCTGGCTCCTGGCTTCAGCCCTAGCCCAGCCCAGCCATGGTTGGGCATCCAAGGAGTGAACCACCAGATGGGAGACCTCTCTGCTGTGGATAAAGAGCAAACACAAACTACAATCTACAGCATGCAGATGGCAACATGTGTGTGGGCAGGGAACAGAGCTGAGTTCAGGGGAAGGGGAGTCCCAGGGAGGGCAGGACGCACTAAAAAGGCAGGTGAGGGCAGCATCCATCCACAGGTAGCAGAGGCCAGCATGGCGCAGGTGGCAGGAAGGACAGGGCTGCTGCTGGCGAAGAAGCCGCCGGGGCAGGACAGGGCATGGCAAGCACACTCACAAGGAGTGTGAGCCAGGAAGACACCACGGACGGTTTGCTTTTACATCTTGAAAAGGGAAACAGGAAAGAATTGAGGGGAGAGGAACCAGGCAGGAAGCCTGGAGACCAGTTACGAGGCTGTGTGGTACCTCAGTAAGAGACGGTAGTGGCCTGGAGCTGGCAGGAGGACAGAGCTGGCAGAAGTGGGTAGACTCTGGCTGTTACCTGAGACAGAGCCGACAGGGCCTCCCTTGATGGACAGGAAGGGACAGGAAGGAGTCAAGGATACGTGAACCGCTAGAGAGCACAGGAGAACCAAGCCAGCCTCGTTCTGCTGGGGATGTCCATCAGGTCCTGGCAGCGACATGGAGGAGACTGGGGCAAGGTCGGGGTTGGACTCTGTTTTCACTATAAGACATTACGTGGGTGGACGTTACCGCGGTGGGCAGCTAGCAGTGTCTGGTATATGGCAGGAACCCACTGCCCAAGCTCTCTTACCTGTCCCTTCCCCACCCAGCCCGTTTCCAGCACCAGTGGATCTGAGACAGGCTCAGCACAGTGTCAGTCAGTGCCCAGAGGTGTGTCTGCAAGGCCCCTGGGAAGCCAGAGGGCCGAGCTGGCTCGGGCTGCTGACAGCTGAGTGGGCTCTCCACACCTGCACATTCCAGGGCTTCTCACTGCACACAGCTTAGCTCATTTCAGTGAAGAGCAGAAAACACGGGGCACTTCCACGCATGCACTTTGAAGAGAGCTGCTGGAGTCTGGACCGCAACCCTTTCCATAATGACGCTTAGAAACACTAATACTACAATAAAACAAAACAAACTAGTAACTTCCCCTTTCTGCGTGACTGCTACGTTGCCATCGTACGTCGTATCTTGGGGCTAGGACACATCCTTCTGGGGATAAATCAAAGTGGGCACCAGGAATTCTGAGTTGAGGTGCATCCTCCCTCGAGGGGCACAGAAAACCCACGGGAAAACTCTTGCTCCTGGGGCAGTGACGAATGCACTTGCTGTCCAGGTCTACAGCAGGGCAGACAATGTCTGGCTTGCAGGCTGTACAAGGCCTGCGAGATGTCATATAGATACCTGCCCTTGGCAGAGAAAGGTGCCCCGCCCCTGCTTGAGGTGGGAGAATTACAGAGCTCACAAGGTACTCGGGAGACAGGTTCTGTGACAAAGAGTGACAGCTAAGTGCTTTCTTCAAACTGCCCGCTCAGTACACGTCTCATCTAAGGGATTATTTTGTAAAGGCAGAAACACATGTAACACGTGTGTCTACCACAACAGCCAGCTAGAACAGCTTGCCAGGTGTGGGCCCAGCCCAGTCTGTGGTCATCAGCAGACACAAATGCCCTGGCCGAGCTCACTTGCTCTCTCACACTCAGGGTCCTACGACTCTGTAGGCCAGAGACCCTGCAGCAGCAGAGCCTGACGCCCCCAGCCCTCCTGCGATGAGATCACCTGCAGGCTGCGCAGTGCATGACGGGGCTCTCCCACGCCCTGTACCTGGGTGTCATGCTGAGGACACGTCACAGCTTCCTCAGGCTCCTCCTGCACTTCTGAACTAGCACACAGAGGCTCAGCAGGAAGCATGCTACCCGCCTCAGCACACACCGAGCTGGCAACAAGCCAGCCTGCTTTTCCTTCCTCCTGGATCCTGCTCAAAACTCAGCATGTCAGCTGCTCTGACAGTGAGGCTTCACAGTACGTCAAAGGGTTTTAGGCACTAAGGAAGCGAAGTCAACAAGAGACGAGATTCACACAAGCTCCCACAGAATGCATGGGCCAGCAAGGGTAGCAGCGGGGACGCGTGTCTGTCAGAGTCAGGTCTTCTCAACCGGAGCCTGGCCCGGCAGCCAGCGAGAGGTGTGTGCAGAGGAGGCGCCTGCGCACGAGGCTTGCACACGGGCGATAAGCCGACCGTCGCCCCCAGCGTCCTCGTCTCCCTTTATAGCACGTGGGAAGGACTGACGTTCACACAGAAAGCTTGTGCTCTCCCATGTCATTCCAGCAGCATTGCCTGCTTTCTTAGCAAGCATCGCTTCTCCCATTTTCCAGTTGAGAAAATTGAGACCAAGAAAAATCAAGCCCACAAAGGCAGCAGCCTGTGGCACTAGCGTTATAAACCATGTTCTCTTGACTCTCCTGCCAATATTTCCTTCTACTGCTGGGCAAGGCCTCCCCAGAGGAGGGGTCGCTGCACTGGGCATGGCTGGCTCTGGGCCCCCTGCCTCCACCGGAACTGCTTCCTCCGGTTCCTGAGCCCTCTCCTACCTGTACTGCCACTCTGCCTTTGCCTCAACGCTCCCATCTCCAACACAGGGTATCTGTCTGCTTCTCCTAAGCCAGTTCTTCTCAAAGTCTGGTGCCCAGAACTAAAACATCAGAGTCACCTGGGAACTTACCAGAAATGCCAACCTGAGCCTCACCCCAGACCTGCTGAGTCAGCCATTCCAGGAGTGGGGCAGCGAGGCGAATTCTACTTTGCTCTCCAGGGAGGCTGCAGCTGCAGGAGCACCCTTGCCCAAGCCACAAAGCAAAGCTCCTCCTGTGGCCCACAGACACAACCTCCTGGCTGAAGAAGAAGGCCTTTCGCCTGGCACCAGGCAGCAGTCACATCCAGCAGGTGCGGGCCAGTGCAGGCAGACACGTGGAACAGGGGAGCCTCCCTCCTCTGTGCCATTTCCATAGTGGTACCCCGCCTTCTCAGTGTAGACTTTTAGATATTTTTAAAGATTTGTTTATTTGAAAGAGTGATAGGGGGAAGAAGAGAGAAAGAGAGAAAGAGAGAGAGAGAGAGAGAGAGAGATCCTCCATCTATTGGTTCACTCCCCAAATGGTTGCAATAGCCAGGGGTTGGCCAGGCTGAAACCAGGAACTCCATCCAGGTCTCCCATGTGGCTGGCAGGGGCCTAAGCACTTGGGCCATCATCTGCCGTTTTGCCAGGCACATCAGCAGGGAGCTGGATCAGAAGTGGCGCAGCCAAGACTCAAATTGGTGCTCTGATATGGGTTGCAGGCATCCTAAGCAGAGCTTAACCTGCTGGGCCACAACACCAGCCCCAGTGTGCAACGGCCTTTACCTCAACCCCTCCCACCCCAGCAGACCCAGCTCTTGGCTCTTGAGCCAGGAGCCCACAATGGGCTGGGTCTCTTGTACAGAACCTTCTTCCCTAATAGGAACCATAATGAAAGGGGAGTGAGGCTGACTCAACTCTAGAGTAAATGCTAACCAAAACTTACAAACCTCCCCAGCGGGTCCACTTTCTAGTACACAAAGCTCCTCCCTAACTCTTACAAGGTTCAGTAAGGCCAATTTTGAGCCTGTGACTTGAACCAAGGATTCCTAATTCACCCTCCCAGGATGTCTCTACTATGGCAGGCCAGGCGCCAAGCAACTCCTTACCAGGGAGCTGCAGGCATGAGCTTCAAGCACTAAGTGCAGCCACGCTGTGCCCATGGCACCAGGCACATTGCCACGTGGGAAGAATTTCCCTTTCTCCAGCCCTGTCCACTGGGAATACTGAGGAGACACGCCCCTAAGCAGGACAACTTCCTGGAGCCAGGGCATCAAGTTGGAGGACAACCTTGATAGGCCAGATTCTCCTTCTGGAATCTAAGGAGCCGCTCATCCACCCCCGTGATTGGCCAAAAGCTCTCCAGTTTTCTCTTACAAACAACGGAGGGCGGTGACTCTCAGGGCTGTCATGTCTATCGCAGCAACATTTGGAGGGAACAAAAAGGCCGTGAGGTAGGAGGTTCCCGCACACTCGCTCTCTACCCATGCGGTTGTTAACGCTTGATTTAAAATACAGACATTCCGCTTGAGAAACGAGAAGCTGTCAGAGGCCAGACACACAGCACACACACACACTCGGCCCCATACGTCCCAGAGAGGAAGCAAACGCACAGCAACACCGGGACCACCCTCCCGTGCTGCCTCCTTCATTGTCATTTCTCGGAAACCATCCCTGTTGGAACACCCCTTCCCACATCCATTCCCAGAGAAGAGAGGGAAGAAAGGGATGGAGCAGGATTCACAAGAGATCTAATCTGGAGCGCTAATGATCACAGCAGCTGAAAAGCTGGCGGAAGCAAAGACAGACCCCGTAACAAAACACCAGCAGGCACTCCCGCCAGGCAGCCTGGCCACGAGAATGAGGAAAACCGGAGCCAAAATCCAGCCTCGACAATGCAGATAGACTTGCACAGTCTTCGCTGCGACAGTGCGCATTTTATTTGAAAAGAGCAGCAGACCGCGTGAGTTTGACAAAGGAAGAAAAACAAAAGATAGCGAGAGGCTCATTCTGGATGCACGGCTGCTGCGCTGTGGCCACAACTCTGCACCAGCAGCAGCGGGAGGCACAAGGTGGGGTCAAAGCCATCATCCACGCTGCACGTCGCATGCAGTCAACACCCCTGACCTGCACCACAGCCATCCCTCCACCCCCACGGAGGGGATAAACCTCACCAAACGCAGGGAATAGCTCTTCCTGCATGAGAACCAGCCAGAGCCTACGCTGTCATTACACAGCAAAAACCCGGCGAGAACAAAAACCCAGCGGCACACAGATGCAGAAAACCCGCAACGTACCTGAATTCTTCCAATGCAAACATGACCTAGTCAGAGCCAATTTCCTTGGATGGTTTGGGAGCCTGCTTGGTACAGAGGACAACCATTTAGTCAGCCAGATGGTGCAAAGTGCAGAAAAAAGAGGCGGGGCCTCCACACCCCCAGTATTCGGGAGGAAAAGGCTTTCTGCAGCCAGGGGCCTGCAGCCTCCAGCTCCGCCAGCTGCTGACAAGCGGCAGCTACCAGGGGAGGCAGCAGCAAACCATGTGACCACCCAGCAAGGCTGGTTAACGCAGCATTTGCTCAGGCTCGGGTGGGGAAGGAGGCTGGAGAAGGAAGTCGAACCCAGGGCTCGCCTGGGATCCTGGGTAAATCACACGACTCGCCCCTCCCACCCCCACCTCTGCAACGGTGCAGGCAGGGGCAGGAGAGGCGAATGAAGGGATGAGGATGGGATCTGGGCCTCTGAACTGCCTAACGAGCCTGTCTTCCCATGGCTGCAGCTGCCGTAGTGATCAGGCGTGACCCATGCTGTGAGTGAGCGCAGCTGACCCCCACACGTGGACTGCATCTTGCGGAAGCCAGAATACTGGAAAATTCTTCTAGATTCTGCACTTGGCATTCAGCTACCAAATGTTATTTTAGTACAAAGGCATGCACTTTACGCCCACCACTTCACCATGACTAACATGACCTTGTACATCAGCCACAGTTAAAGACCTCATGTGTTGGAGTATTTATTTATTAGTGACAGTATATCCCAGGCTCTCATCAATTCTTTGAAGTACAAAAATTGCTGTAACAATTTCAGAACAGTCAAAAAAAAAAAAAAAGGGTGGGGGAGCAAGACATAAGCCCAAAATACAAATGTTTACTGGCTTGCAAAGCCCAAGCTGGCAAGATCTGGCAAATGAGCGGCGACTCTTGGAAACGTGGGGGAGGAGCCTTCAGCATTTGGACCGCGGGTCTTCGTGAACTAACAGAGACAGTACTCACTCCTGGCTTTTTCACAGACATGCTAAATTCACTGGGGAGCCTACTGCATGACTGCCTTAGGCCCAGCTCCCACCTGCACCACGGCCTCGTTCCGGCCTCAGTCCTCCTCACGTCTCTCGCAGCAGGATCTGCTCTCCCTTCTTCCGTTCCCTCTCTGAAAATCTGCCAGAGCAATTTTTCTAAATCTGGCTTTGATGTCCCCACTTGAACCCTGTGCCAGTCCCTCCGTGCCCCAAGACCGCAGATGCCCAAGCCGGCATCCAGCATCTCTCTCTCATTCTTCCTGCCATCAGATCTCTGCACAAACCCAGGGCTCAGCCGAGCCATGGCCCAGCTGGACCAGATCGCTGTGATGGCCAGCTCCCTGCCCCAGCTGCTCCCGCACCAGGATCCTGAACTGCCCCAGGACGGCTGTGGCCCTCTGTCCCCTACTGCCCCTACGTCATGCATAGCACAATAGCTTCTGCCTACTTCCCTCCTACTTCCAGGAGTTCCGAGGGCGGAGTTATGTGCGATTCATTTCTGCGTCCCTGTACCTGAAACATCCCTTGCTACAAAGGAGCCGCTCAGAAAGGCATGCTGAAGGAGCCCCCTTGGCCTCCGCTGTCCATGCAGGGACCTGGTGCACGCTTCACACGAGGTGCTCTTCTTAGCTTGCCTCTGCCTGGGAGAGGAGCCGGAGTCCAGAGCTCAGCTCAGAGAAATGCAGCTGTAAGGCTCAAGGAGGCAGACATTTGTGCGGGTGCCACGGGAGATCCTGTGGTCCCTCATACCACGTGGCAACCAGCCCCAGAGCCGACCTGAAATGCCTCTTGCAACCTCCCTGTCAATCTTCTGTCCGAGACAGAGCCCCTGGTGGTGGCTGCCCTGAGACACAATCATGATGACATTCACAACCATTAAATAATCCAGTGCACAGAGGCTGGCGCTGCGGTGTAGCAGGCAAAGCTGCCACCTGCAGTGCCGGCATCCCATCTGGGCACCGGTTTGAGTCCTGGTTGCTCTACTTCCGATCCAGCTCTCTGCTGTGGCCTGGGAAAGCAGTAGAAGATGGCCCAAGTCCTTGGGCTCCTGCACCCATGTGGGAGACCCAGAAGAAGCTCCTGGCTCCTGGCTTTGGATCGGCGCAGCTCTGGCTGTTGCGGCCATTTGGGGAGTGAACCATCAGATGGAAGACCTCTCTCTCTCTCTCTCTCTGTGCCTCTCCTTCTGTCTCTGTGTAACTCTAACTTTCAAATAAATAAATAAATAAAACTTTAAAAATAATAATCCAGGGCCGGCGCCGCGGCTCACTAGGCTAATCCTCCGCCTAGCGGCGCCGGCACACCGGGTTCTAGTCCCGGTCGGGGCGCCGGATTCTGTCCCGGTTGCCCCTCTTCCAGGCCAGCCCTCTGCTGTGGCCAGGCAGTGCAGTGGAGGATGGCCCAGGTGCTTGGGCCCTGCACCCCATGGGAGACCAGGAAAAGCACCTGGCTCCTGGCTCCTGCCATCGGATCAGCGCGGTGCGCCGGACGCAGCACGCCAGCCGCGGCGGCCATTGGAGGGAGAACCAACGGCAAAGGAAGACTTTTCTCTCTGTCTCTCTTTCTCACTGTCCACTCTGCCTGTCAAAAAAAAAAAAAAAAAAAAAAGAAAAAATAATAATAATCCAGTGTATAGTCCAGATCTGCTGCTTTCGTAACTCCACGATGGCTGGCAAGCTACTTCAAATATTGAGCCTGGGGTTCCTCACGTGTAACACTGCCCACACCTCTCTCAAGGTTGCAGAGGGGCTATGAAAGTGCCCTAGGGAGCATGTAGACTTCTAGAATGCTCAAACGCTCCTCAGCATCTTTATTTTTTTTAATATTTTATTTATTTATTTGGCAGGTAGAGTTCCAGACAGTGAGAGTGGTTCACTCTCCAAATGGCTGTAATGGCCGGAGCTGTGCCGATCTGAAGCCAGGAGCCAGGTGCTTCTCCTGGTCTCCCATGGGGTGCAGGGCCCAAGCACTTGGGCCATCCTCCACTGCCCTCCCAAGCCACAGCAGAGAGCTGGACTGGAAGAGGGGCAACCGGGACTAGAACCGGCGCCCATATGGGATGCTAGCACTGCAGGTGGAGGATTAACCTAGTGTGCCACAGTGCCGGCGCCCAGCTCCTCAGTATCTTTACCATCTCACAAGATAGGTCATCACTGGGAAGCCCACTGAATGGGGTGGGGGTGGTTTTTGTTCTGTGACTTCCAGGTCAAGGGATATGCCTGCATGTATGTATGAATGTGTATGTATGTATAAGCCCAGGGAAGAGCAGTTCTTTAGACCAAATGCAATTGCATGGTGTTTTCATGTATTAGACCACCTGGGCACAGTCGTGGAGGGGATGGGGAAAGGGGCAGCTGGGGGTCCAGCACAAACAAGCTTCTTGAGCGAAAAGAGATGGCAGGACATCCCTCTCATCTGGGCTTTCACAGCCTCTGTCAGGGCTAGGGAACAGCGGTCTCCATGATGGGTGTGATGGTCTGCTGGTTGGTCTACAGGTCGGATCCTACATCTTGTCTCCAACTCTAAGGTACAGGGATGGTCCTAGACATCTGGCCCAGTACCACTGGTCTGATTTGCTTCAGTCTGGCTGGGCCTATCCATGTGGCACGGGCCCAGCAAGATGGGAGACCTCTAGACCCTGTGCCTGTTTCCACGTGTGACTTGACTCTCTTCTTGGAGAGCTGGTTATTACTCTTGAGCCAATTCATGAGGTCAAACCCCAGCACCAGGTGTATTTTAGACGCAATTTTATAAGAATGCCCAATCTGCTAGTAAGTTTAAAGAACTTGTCCAGGGTCACCCACTGTAGTAACAGCAGAGCAATGAGTCAGACCCTGGTTGTTCTAACTCCAACATATCCTACTGGCATCCCAACACCAACAATGCAACTGGCCAAGGCTGTCCTGGTTGAAGATGCGTTCAAAGGGCTATGAGGCAGCTGGTGGCCCTCGGGTGGGACTGGGGCACTGTGACACGTTGGGGCTATTTTATCCAGCTGGCCCATCTAATCCTGAGATTTCATGGCTGTGCAAGAGAGCTTTAATGGATGAAACAGGGCTGCAATGACATAGTGTTGGTGGTGGGACCCCTGCGAGGGAAAGGAGTCTGCTTCAAAGGGTAGGAGGTCCCTGAACCCCAATCAGGCAAGAACCCCAAGCTGTCAGGAAGTAGGACACACAGGAAGGCCCATGTTCTAGACATTTCCACCCCTCTCCAGGACAGGGCTCCAAAAGGTACTTTTGTGAACACACAATATTTAAAAAAAAAAACATTGTCTACTAATGACTCAAGGCTCAGACAATGCACATTCCCACTTCGGTACTTACTTTCCTTGTGCCCCATGAAGGAATAGCCAGATACTATTTTTTAACCCTAACGTATGAAACTGATACACGTAGGGTGGTCTGGCTGAAGAAGGGATGGGGGCGATGAGAGCTGGCAGTGAGGTCCCCCACTTTCCACTAGGAACAGCCCCAGACTCAGCCTGAAAACAGCCGCCCGCCTACCCTGGCAGTGCCTGCGGCGCTGTCCGCACCATAGAGCATCACACCCACCCTGGTTCACCTGGGGTCTCTTCCTCCTCCTGGCCTCCTGAGAATAAAGGCTTCCTGGCCGGTGCTGCTGCCGGGGCAGAGTGTGCTTCTGCGGTTACTGGACAGGAGGCGGCACGGTTTCTCCGCAGCCACAAACGTGGAGACACTGCCCACACACACAAGGACTAGAGGGAAGGACCCTGAGGCCCCCCACAGTTTGGGAAAGCTAAACGTGAAAGGTGTCTTCTACAAGTACCCTTTGCCTCACAGGTACCTCGTTTTGCAAGCAACACATCCTTTCATACCCAATGGCTGACTCTCCAGGAAAGAGAACGTAGGACTTGTTGGTGCTGAATCTCATTAGTGCTTCTTTGGAGACCAATGAGTGGACAGTTCATGGCCCAGATGTCCTGGAGTCTAACGCCTCCCACAGCCAAGACGTCTGTGCAGCAACATAAGCACCGAGCCTTGAGCAGCGCCCATGTGCCAATCAAGCAGAAACACGATGCTATCCTGACACTCATGGACATGCACATCCACTACCGCTGCATGCAGAGAGGACGGAGGAGACAGGAGTGGACTCAGGTCGCCTCCTCACGGCCTAACCAAGGCTTCCCAGTGAGTAGGGGGCTGAGTGGTAATGAGAGTATCTTCAGACTCCAACTTTTTCCTGCCCGTCCCACCTTTCCCCGACTCCCCTGCCTGCCTTACACCCTTCCTTCAGGCAGTTAGCAACACTCACACTTGACACTTTAGAGACCTGATTCTTTTTCACTGTCTACAGAATGAAGTCTCAGCTCCCAGGGTGGCCCTGGGCGCCTCCACAATCGGACCGTCCGACACACTGACGCCAGCCTTGGGGCGTGGTCAGGGTGGTCTCCTGAATGGCCCTGCCCTCTAGCTCATGC